AGCAATGGCCTCCACCCTAAAAGCAATGGCCTCCACCCTAAAAGCAATGGCCTCCACCCTAGGAGCAATGGCCTCCACCCTAAAAGCAATGGCCTCCACCCTAAAAGACATCGAAGAACAGCTCCTTTTTCCCTTCGATTCGACTCCTCAAGGCGTCGCGCGCGGTCCAGGTTCACCGCCACTTCGGCGACCTCGCCAATGAGTGGCGTCAACAGCTCTAGCCTGGCCGCGAGGCTAACAACACGGTGTTTTTTGTGGGCGGATTCGGTGGGGTTTGGCACTTGGCACTTCCAGGCGCCCATAGCAATAATGAATGTGAATGGCATGAACCCAATACAAGCATGGCCAAGACCAAAGGGGGTTGGGTGTGTGCTTGTGCAGTGTCTGACCGGGTCACTTATACCTTGAGCTTCTGAGCTCCTCCGACTCCTCCGACTCGACCATTTGTAGGTGTCCCTTCCGGTGCTCCGCCTTCGGTACAACACCGACACCTCTTGGCCCCATCGAAGCGCTTGGCCCAGCTCCTCCGGAGAGGCATCCTTGGTTCGACATGGCCGGGCTGAGGTCAACGGTGGCCTTTAGGGGAACAGGTTCCCCACAAAACGTGGAAACAAGAATTTCAAAGATGCGCGGATCACATCCCCCAACAAGCACCCTCCTGGTAAAAGAGATCGGAATGGCCTGGGATTGACATTGGTGGATCCAGCTACAAGCGAATTTCCCGGGTGAAACTCAAAACTTTCAGTGATTAGTTGGAGAATGTTGCCTGTTTGTTGTACTTACTCATCGACAGGCAAGCTGGCATAAGCTGGCTACATGTTGGGACTATCCGGGATAGGCTGATTCAGCCAAATACCCGGAATGCACTGTATTAATATGTATTAATCACAGACTTCCTGGCGCCACGTTGGCGCCCACCAGCGGGACGTCCCGCGGACGCAGCGAGCTCGCCCCACCGCGGCCCGGTGGCCGTGAGGCTTCGCAGCTCCAGCGCCCGGCGTGCCACCGAGGCGAAGCCTGGAGGCCGAAGCAGGAGCAGCGGAAGTGGAGCGAAGTGGAGACCGGGTGGAGAAGGGAACAAGAAGGGAACAAGGACCAAGGCACCTCATCAACACCTCAAAACCTCGTTGAAATGGAAAGACCACCCTTCGCCCCTTCCGAAAAGAACACACAGCGACCACCGGGACAGCTGTGTCGCCTGCTTTGAGATGTGAGCGCGTCACCTTGGAGTTGCGAGCTTCGGAACCGAGCAAAACGGGAAAAACATAGATCACGGAACATAGATGGATGAGAATGAAGAATCCTGGGTCTTCACCCGGGGGGAAAAGAAATGACAATAGCTTACATCCGATCCGGAAATCCAGGTCACTCCTCTCATGCTTGGCGTCAAGGATGTGCAGTCGGGCGCCTGCGACTCGTTGTGCCAGCCTCGAGCGGCCAAGAGCCATCGCAGGGCCAGGCGGGTGACGATCTTCTCCTGCAAGACACGCAGTCATCAGAAGTCCCATCGAAAGTCATCAGAAGTCCCATCAAAAGTCATCAGAAGTCCCATCAAAA